ACCTGAGACGCTGCTGTATTCCTTGATCACTTCTAGGAGTTTTGTAGTAGAATCCCTGGTGTTTTCCAGATATACTATCATATCATCTGCAAAAAGAGGGTAAGAGTATATCTTAATTGAAATAGATAGCTTATACTGTACTGTCTTATTTCTAAGCCCTTTGAAATGACTATACATAGTTGTTATAATTAGGGTACTTTGTTGCCAATAACAAATACACTTGTCAAAAAGCAAACAGACATAAATAGGGAAACTCCTTTGTACATGCCCCTTGGAATCACACTTCAGAATTTCCAGCTACCTTGGTTGTGGTTCCACACTCTTCAGTGTTTAAGTGACACAGCTGTCTTGACTGGTAATGGGTGTGATTGTCTTCTGAACATTCAGGGTGGCCCTTGCTCTCTTCTTGGTCTCTTGTCAGGAGAGCTGGCCAGTTCCCAGGATGCTGTCTGCCCAAAGTAGAAACTGTCAACATTTTACTCAGTGAGTATACACACATGTGCAGGAGGTGTGCACTCTCAGAGTGTACCTATAGGGGTTGATTTGAGGGTAGATTCTAGTCTAAGCTTTGTCACCTCCAGCTCAAGGCTCCTGTCAAGCTGTGGTCAGGATGCCAAGGTATTTTTTAGATGTGGCTAGGCCAGCCTGTGAACACAGTCCCCCAGGAGGCCTGACACCATGGCTTTGTCATAGTCTCTCAAAGCCTATGGGGCTTGTTAGCTAGGTCCAAAATCAGCTTTGCCGTTATGTTCTTTTCTGACTTACCCCTCAGCCTCCCTTTGTTGATTGGATGGTGAGTGTTTGTGCAAAGGCTTGATGCAAGGCTGAGTGGGAGGGTGTGCACAGAAAGCCCTGGGGACAGTAACAACACTGGCCACAGTTGACTTAAGTCTCTTTTGCACAAACATATGTTTGAAGGAGTTTGAAAAGAAATAGCCATGTGACTTTGGATTTTATGGTAGTGTATGTAGATTGGATTCTCTCATCTGTGAAGATGTTTTCAAACTTTACTTATACAGCTCTTTTTTCAAAAGTAGACTCAAGCAGAACTCTCCCTTTGTTATCATGGTTTGAATCTGGAGCTATGCTGGTTGAAATAGGGATGGGGCCTGAAGCTCTCTACCTGCCCAATCTCACAGCTCCACCCTTTGGTCCCTCTGAGGAACCCTAGGGTTTCCAAAAACTTAATTTGAAAGTCACGTAATGAGCTAGTTCTTACGTTCCTCCAGCTACTAGAAAACACTTTGATTCTACCACTGTCTATAGGGGCAGCAGCCCAGTCTGCCTTGTTCATGATGTAACCTTAGTTCTAGGGCAGCAGCCAGTATGTATTAGGCACTCACTGGGTTATGTGATAAGTGATGATTAACTAGGAGGTCAATCCAATCAAGTTGGGAAGACTTATTATGAGGAATGATGGATGGTACTAGAAAGAATGGAGTGGGTTCCAGACCCTGTTCTCAGTGCTGTACATATCTGAAGAACAGGCCTATCTTCCTGCGATATGTACTTACCCAGGAGGTATGTCCTGTTGTTGACGCTCTCTGACAGAAGAGTTGCAGAGAGATGAATTAGCTTGCCCACAGCTACGCAGCTGGGAAGCAACAGAGCTGAGACAAGAATCCAGGCAGTCTGCCCCGAGACCTTCACTTCACCATGATGCTGGATTACCTCTGCTCTGTTGCACTTCCATGTTACAAGCTTCACACACTTTTTCTCTTTATCCTGCAGCTATGCAGGACATAGTAGACTGGGATTTCCAACTCATATCTCTGAACTAAAGCTTGTACTCTAGAGCAGGGGTCCCCAAACTTTTTTGTACCAGGAAGTAGTTTCATGGAAGATAGTTTTTCCATAGACCTGAATGGAATGGGGGGTTGTGACAGGAGATGGAGCTCAGGCAGTGATATGAGCGATGGGGAGTAGCTACAAACAGAGATGAAGATTCACTGGCCTCCTGCTGTGCAGCCCAGTTCCTAACAGGCCACAGACTGGTACCTGTCTATGGCTTGGGGGTTGGGAACCAGAGCTCTAAAGAACAAGCATATAAACTAATAGGGATGTGTTAGAGGATCAGAAATATAGAAATTGGATACAGTCTCTTTGTTAAGTGAAGCCTATTATGATTGCCTGGTATCGTTCTCAGTATTTGTTGAGCCAGCAGAGAAGATTTAAGCAGAGCCCTTAGTTTCATTGTCGTTGGGTTTTTTCTTTCATATCACCATAAAAGCAAGTGGATAGTTTAATGGTTAAGTATGCTCTACTTCTTACTAGCAGGAGATGTGAGATGGGATGTGGTTGAGGAAGACATTGGGGACATCAGAACAGTCCTCCAATTTTATTCTTCCGACTATTCCAGTGAAACGAGATTAGGGCAGTTCTTGCCATTTACACTGGTCCCTCAGTCTTTCCAAAGCTTATTTAAACTGGACCCTTCAGTTTTTAACAACAAGACCTATACACTAGGCTGGGCGTGGTGGCTCACACCTGCAATCCTAGCGTTCTGGGAGGCCAAGGTGAGTGGATTGCCTGAGCTCAGGTGTTCGAGACCAGCCTGAGTAAGAGCAAGACACCGTCTCTAAAAATAGCTGGGCATTGTGGTGGATGCCTGTAGTCCCAGCTACTCGGGAGGCTGAGGCAAGAGAATTGCTTGAGCCCAAGAGTTTGAGGTTGCTGTGAGCTGTGATACCACAGCACTTTACGGAGGGTGACAAAGTGAGACTCTGTCTCAAAAAAAAAAAAAAAAAAACCAAAAAAAACAACACAATAAAACCTACAGCTCAGCACCTGTAGTTTAGTAGCCAGGGTGCCAGTCACATACACTGAAGCTGGTGGGTTCGAACCCAGCCCAGGCCTGCCAAACAACAATGACAGCTACAACCAAAAAATAGGTGGGCATTGAGGCAGGCGCCTATAGTCCCAGCTACTTGGGAAGCTGAGACAAGAGAATCACATAAGCCCAAGAGTTTGAGGTTGCTGTGAGCTGTAACACTACAGCACTCTATGAAGGGCAACATAGAGAGACTCTGTCTCAAAATAAACCCTACACACCATGGGAGTGGTCCATCAGAGGCTCAAATGGAAGGGTGGACATTTTCTTGGTGTCATTGCTAAAATCAGGGATCAGTTTGTTCCAATGAAGCTATCCAGGGTTGTCTTTGGATGACTTAAACAAGGGCTAATTAAATCAAATTGCAGCCTAGAAGCTTAGAAATTCCTACATAACTCTTTTTTTTTTTTTTCAAATTATTTTAGAGACAGAGTTTTGCTCTATTACCCAGGCTAGAGTACAGTGGCATGATCATACCTCACTGCAGCCTTGAACTTGCTGGGCTCAAGTGATCTCCCTGCTTCAGCCTCCTGAGTACTTTGGACTATAGGTATGTGCCACTTTGCCAGGCTGATTTTTAAATTTTTTTGTAGAGACAGGGTTTTTCTATATTGGCCAGGCTGGTCTCTAATCTTGGCCTGAACCAACTTTCCTACCTTGGCCTCCCAAAGTGCTGGGAGGCATGAGCCTCCACATCAGGCCTGAGCCACCACATTAGGCCTCTACATATTTGTAAACTCATCAGTGCAGCTGGTTATGCAGAGGGCCTTGCCACGACTGGTTTTGCCTTTGGCTCCTCTCAACACATGACAGCTTATCTTTGTCATGAATCGTGTCCCATTCTTCTGTGAGAGGTAGTTGACTTATAAAGGATAGTTGGAGGTCTTCTTGGTCATGGGAGCAGACAAAGACTGCTTATTTATCTCTAAAGTGACAGCTTAAGTGCTTAGTAATTTTTAAATTATAAATAGCATGGTATGTGATTAAGAGCAAAGTTCAAGGCCATATAAACAGCTGATACATTAGGTTCCTTCCTAAATAGTAGCTCCCAAGAACTGAAATTTAGAGCGAATGTTAGATTTGTCCTATAGAATGAGAAGGTCCAGCTATCTTTAGGGGGTTGCTTGCTGCTTTGTCACTTTGCTGGTAATGACCACAGATGAAAAATATCCTTTTGAGAAAAAAAGGAAAAAAAGGAAAAAAAAACCACAAAACGTCCTTTAATAGCATTGGGATAACCAGAGCTTCCTGATGCTGCTTAAAAGGTTTGACTGATGATTGTTTTCTCTTGTTGATAATCCCACCACCCAGAAGTAACCACTTTGTGTGTGTGTAGGTGTGGGTGGGTGGGTGTATGTGTTTGTAGAAGTTGTGTATAAATAGAGTCAGGTGTACATTTAGGAAAGCTTTAGGGATATATATCCTGAGACTTAATGTAGAATGTGCACATGTTCATATGGAGTGTGGGGTTTATCAGGAGGAGTTGAATTTTAGGGATGAGAGAGTGTATGTGTGTGTGTGTGTGTGTGTATGCATTTAATGATATGATGGAGTTTGTGTATATGTTTGAAATATAATTCACATTCTATAAAGCTCACCATTGTAAAGTATACAATTCAGTGGTTTTTAGTATATTCACAAGATTGTGCAACTATTACTATTTAATTTTTAAACATTTCATCACTCCAAAAAGAAACCTGTGTTATCAGTCACACTTCATTCTTCCCCAGCTCTCTCCCCCAGCCACTGGAAACCACTGATGTACTTTTGTCTGGGTGGATTTCTTATACATGGAATCATATAATGTGTTCATCCTTTTGTAAAAATTTGGCTTATTTTACTCAATATGTTTTCAAGATTTATTTATATTGTAGCATGAATCAGTGCTTCATTTTCATGGATGAATAATAGTCCTTTGTATGGATACATGATCTCTTAATTATCTCTTTATAAGCTGATGAACATTTAGGTTGTTTTTAGTTTTTAGCTATTGCAGAGTATGGTTGCTATGAACATTAGTGTACAGCAGCAGTTCTCAACCTGTGTGTTGTGACCCACAGGAACTGTATTAAAGGGCCTCAGCATTAAGAAGGTTAAGAACCACTGTGTGAAAGTTTTTGTCTGGACGTATTTTTTCAGAGGTACCTGCTTTTGAAATTTTGATTTTATCCTTCCATGTATTTTCTTTGTGAGTGTACATAGACTTTTCTATATAAATATCTGTATTTTTGCAAATATGGAGCACAAAGCATTTCTGTAGCATGCTTTCCTCCACTTGGTATGATGTCACTGGAGGTTTGTTTCAAGTTTTTTGTTATTTTAATCCACTCACTTCCGTGTACAGTGCCTTTAGCCATCCAGGTCTTCTTCACTCTGTAGGTCTCTATCACTGTTCAGTCTATCGTCATGCAATCTCTAAATAAAACGCTCACCCAGCTGGAAAGAACTACCGTAGTATGGCCGATGCTCATCAACGCTGGACCTGTTAGCATCTGCAAGAATGTCGTTCTTGAGGTAGGTGCCCAGTTTGGCTTTGAGAGCTCATCTGTGTGTGGTGGAGTCAAGCTGTGTGTCCTGCCAGGTAACTGGACACCCTCTGAAGGAGGCTGTGGTCCATGCTATGGTCACTTTGCTTGGCTTGGCATCCTGCTTGCCTTTACACCATCTCATCACAGCATGTTTTTTACTTGTCTCCACAAAACTAGTGACTTGCAAGAATACATTAAATTTTTGTAGTTTTTGACCAGGCATAGTGACATGCCTGTAATCTCAGATTTTGTCAGGAGTTGGAGCTAGTTTGGGTAACATAGTGAGAACCCATGTCTTTAAAAAAGTTTTTTTTAATTAGCCAGACATAATAGCACTTTTCTGGAGTCCCAGCTACTCAGAAGGCTAAAGCAGGAGAGGTCGCTTGAGCCCAGGAGTTTGAGGCTGCAGTGAGCTTTGATGATGCCACTCTACTCTAGCCTGGGCAACAAAGCAAGATCCAGTTTCTAAACAAATTTTTTTTGTTCTTGCTGCTGTTTTTGTTAGGTTAATTATATTCTGCTTGAACCAGAAGAGTTGGAATTTAGGTAACTGGGCACAGAGAGGCTCAGAGGCTCTCCACTGGGAGTAATGCTGAGGAACACCTTATAATCTGGATTGCAGAGAAAAGCTTCAACAAATGGGGAAATGGGAAAAGATTTTCTACAAATGGATATTTTATTTAAGTTATTAATAAAGCTACTGATGTGGAAATAGGTATATTTGGAGTATCATTTTGTTTTTAGGTAAAGTACAGCCTCACATATACAGAGGCAGGTGAAGTTATAAAAGCTGATCTCTCTCTCCTTCTGGGGACAGTTAGCAGTATAACAGTTCCACTGCAGCAAAAGTTTGAAATTCATTTTACTCAGGTAAGTTTGGTTAAATTTGTGTAAGTACGTAATTGCCAAGTTAATAACTTCTTAGTGAAAAAACTCTCAATTTAGAAGTCTTATAACATCTAACACTTTGTATTGAATAAAAGGCTTACATGTGGCATGTGGAGTTTGTAATATAACCAAGTATAGTCCTTGCATCTTTTCCATTTGGGAATAAGATTCCTTTCCAGGGTAGCTTGTTCTTCTACAGTATGAGGTACTCCTCCTACACTCAGTAGATATATTTATAGTTATGAGTAGGGGGAGAAATTCTTTTATTGGTTGGTAATTCCAGATTTTATTATGAAAAGCATTTCATTTTCTCCCTGCCATCTCTTTATTAAAGTGAGAATTATGTGGGGGCATTTTCTATATTGTCTTTCAGCAAAATACAAAGCCGGTTCCTCTCAGTGGAAACCCTGGTTATGTTGTGGGGCTCCCGCTAGCTGCTGGCACCCAGCCGCAGAAGGGATATCCTTTTTGGTGCTGTAGGGAAGGCCGATTTCCCTGTCCATGTGCATGGACTGCACTTCTCCTTTTTGCTGAGGGACCCAGGGCCTGTTTGTGGGAAGGAGAGACAAATCCTGGCTGGAGATTCCCCTGGGTGGCTTTAGTGGGTTGTGGGTCTGGCTGCCCAGCAAGTGAGGCTGAGTGGAGATTGGCTGTAGGGAGGAAAACAGCATGTACTAAGAAAATGTCAGTGTTTTAAAATGAAGATTTTACAACAGAAAAGTTGACATCTAGATGTATTTAATTTCATATTTAAACAGAGACTTTTAAATAAATGTAGTGATTTTAAAAATTTAGAATTAATTTTGAAAGGCCAGTTTCTGGCTCGGCGCCTGTGGCTCAAGTGGCTAAGGCGCTAGCCACATACACCTAAAGTGGTGGGTTCGAATCCAGCCCGGGCCCGCCAAAACAACAATGACAGGTGCAACCAAAAAATGGCCAGGCGTTGTGGCGGGCGCCTGTAGTCCCAGCTACTTGGGCGGCTGAGGCAGGAGACTCGCTTGAGCCCAGGAGTTGGAGGTTGCTGTGAGCATGATGCCATGGCACTCTACCCAGGGGGATAGCTTGAGGCTCCGTCTCAAAAAAAAAAGAAAGGCCAGTTTCTTAGGATTTTTCTTCTAAGTATCTACTAATCAAGGAAAATAGTTATAAGTATTTTTTGCCCTCTCCCAGGAAATAACTGTAAAAATCTCTGAGGCCCAGAGAAGGTGTATTTGGGTCTCAGTCATGTCCCCCAAATGACACTGTCTTCTTACCTGAGAATCAGCACTGGTTGATTATCCCTTAACTGTCTATGAATATCTGGAATTATTCAGACCATGAATAGATATGGACAACTTACTATTCTTCATAGCACAGTTGAGCAAGACTGCTTAGCAGTTGAGGGGATCCGGACCCCAGTATTGTTTGGTTACAATATGCTATCTGGTTGTAAACTAAGGTAAGCTAGTAACTTGGTTCTAGTTGAATTTGTGTTGATCAGAAAACAAAGCATGTCCCCTTATCCCCATTTTAATCAAACCTCTGCATCAGCTGATGAGCTCTTACAAAAGCTACACACAGATTATTATCATTATTAATGAATAGTAGCAAAACTATTACAATCATTTTTCTTATCAAATGTGGCAGAGTAAAAGCCTCAGGGCTTTTTTGTTTCATTTTTAAGGTTGTATAACCTTTGAGTTAATAGCAAAAATACTTCCTCTGAAAGTCTTTCCTATATTTCTGAATTTTAATATACATAGTACAACAAAACCATGGGGGGAATGCCTATATGTGATCTGTTTTTAATTTATCTTGTTTTCAAATATGCTCATAATACAAAATGTCAAATAGCTCTGCACAGTGTGTTATAAAAATAGTGGCTCTTACCCTAATTAGCCCCACTTCAGAGTTGGTGGGGTAAATCTTCTAGCTGGTTCTTTGGAAACCTACTCCCAGATCTTTAGATAACTTGCCTATAATGCTCCTTCTTGATTTTTTAGTTTTATGAATTTTTTATTGAGTTTCCACCTTGGAAGATGATGATTTGGCTCTTTACCCTTCATCCCCTCCCCCTACCTGCACACCTCCCACATCTCCCCAGGGTGCCCACAACATTATTTTGGTTAGATCCACTGTTACCCTTTATACTTGCTGAGCCCTTTAGAACAGTGTCTCTCAAAGGTGGTTCCATGGAATACACTGCCACAAGATGTCAGAGGGATAGGCCTATAGTCCAGTAAGTTTGAGAAATACTAAATTAAAGTTAAAACCTGATTCTTTCTTATAGGACTTCTCAGAACATTTCTTTTTTAAAATCTCAGATTAATATGAGGGTACATATGATTAGGTTACATTCTTTGCATTTGTAAGGTAAAGTCCAAGTTGCAGTTGACATGGGGTTGCTGTATCGTAAATCCCTACGTTGTACCTATTAGGTGGGAGCTTACCATACCCCTTTCCTCTTCCCTTCCCCTCAGTGCCTTTAATATGCACATGTGCTTCAGGAAGGACATTGGGATGTGTAAGTACAGTGTTTCCTCAACTGTTGACCATGGAACCCTTCTTGTACAGAGCTTCAGTGGAATACAGTTTAGGAAAAAATGTTTTGGACCTAGCTCCCTGGCCAAGATTATGCAAAGTTAGAAACATTTTATTGGTTTTATTTTATCAGTTTTTGTTGTTTTTTTCTGAGATATGTCTTGCTCTGTCACCCAAGCTTGAGTGCACTGGTGTCATCATAGCTCACTACAACCTCCAACTCCTGGGCTCAAGTGATCCTTCTGCTTCAGCCTCCTCTGTGGCTGGGACTACAGGCACCTACCACCACACCCAGCTAACTTTTCTGTTTTTTTGTAGAGGCAGGGTCTCACTATGTTGCCCAGGCTGGTCTTGAACTCCTGGCCTCGAGCAATCATCTCACCACAGCCTCCCAAAGTGCTGAGGTTACAGGTGTGAGCCGACATGCCTGGCCTAGAGACACTTTAGCTTCTGTCAAATAACCCCCCTTTGGAGAGTGATAAAATGATGAATCTAAAAAGGCATTTGTGTTGAAGCCTTAAAAAACTGCTGGCAGATGAACAGCAGACTTGTTCAGTTGACCTCTTTTTCCTTCCCTAAGACTGACCAGAGCTCTCCCGTGTCCGCTGGTTGCACAGAGGGTAGAGAGCCTGCTGAAGGGCCAGGCTTTCCCAGATTATGTGGCCCCTTTTGGAAATTCACGAGCTCAGGATGTGCTGGACTGGGTACCCATCCACTTTGTCACCCAGTCATCCAACATGAAGGTAAAGGGGAAGAAGGTGAAGGGTACATGCTAGCAGTCTCTCCCTCTTCCAGATAGGGTGACAGAGGAGCTGGGGAAATCACCTGTTTGGGAGGTAGGATGGCTCTGGGTAGGAGCCTAGGCTTTGTTATCAGATGGGCCTGACTTTTTTTTTTTTTTTTTT